TCTACTCTGCCTCCTAGCGATCGAGACCGGAGACTCCAGGGTCCTCTGGTCTCAAGGCTTCACCTCACCAGGCGAGGCCTCAAATTCGAACCGCCAGCTCGCATGTGCGGACATCTGGTGCCTCCGAGGAGGCAATGGATACAACGGTACCCTTGGTGCCGAAAGAGCGGCGCGGCTCCTTGGAGCGCGCCAAGAAAAATAAAAAGCCAATAACGGGGCTGGACGACCGTCCTACCGCCTGAATTAACAAGTTCACTCCAACACAGGATACTCTCTGTACACACAGCAGCATCTTTTTTTTAATATGCAGACAAAAATATTACGGTGGAACATCTGAGGCCTTCTTCGAAACCTCGATAACTTACAAGAACTCCTCTATGAACACAATTCTAGAGTTCTGTGTGTACAAGAGACATATTAAAATGAACAAACACAAACTTTTTACATAGCTACGTAATCTCCCGAAAGGATAGAGATGATGCCATGCCACCATCCCGTGGGGTAGCGGTTATAGTTAGTCAAGGGATAGCATGTACACAATTACCCCTTCAAACTTTCCTCGAGGCGGTGGCTGTCCGAGCAGTTATTCTAAACAAACTCGTCACCGTCTGCTCTTTGTGCATACCTCCACACCACCGTCTTGAAAAATGTGAATTCCTGTCTTTAACAGACGAACTACCTGAACCTTATCTGGTCCTTGGGGACCTGAACGCACATAGCGGTCTGTGGGGTGAATCTCGCTGTGATGCACGAGGTCATCTCATTGAACAGTTCCTCTTATCATCAGGTGCTTGTCTGTTAAATAGGAAAGAGGCAACATATTATAACCTTTGCCAATAAAACTTACTCCTTCATAGACCTCAGTATTGCATCTCCTTCACTCGTACCATTACTCCAATGGAAAGTCATAAATAATACATACGGAAGTGACCATTTTCCTTTAGTTTTGAGTACGCCAACGTTATATGAATGACCTCCACATGTTTCCAAATGGCTGATAAACAAAGCAGACTTGGAACGATTTCATAACATTACTCACTTGCGTTGGACTGACATATGCGGGTTAGGCATAGATGAAGCTGTGCAGTACTTCACACCTTTTCTTATTGACGCAGCAGCCAAGTGCATCCCGCAAACATCTGGACTGCCCGGCAAGTGACACGTGCCATGGTGGAACATTGAATGTTGAAATGTGCGAAAGGAGTAGAACAGGGCATGGAGGTTGCTGCGGAACTCGCCGACCGCAGAAAAATTTGACAGCTTTAAGAAAATAAAATCACAAGGCAGAAGAACGTGCCCGCAGGCCAGAAGGGAAAGTTGGCACAAGTTTTTAACAGGGATCAACTCGTATACACAGGAGGCTGAATTCTGGAACATGGTTGGTAGGGTAGCAGGAAGACAAGTACACTCACTCCCACTCGTAAACACACATGGCGACAGCTTAGAAGATCAGGTGAACTTCCTCGGCGCACCCTTTGAACGGGTGTCCAGCTCGTCAAACTATACTGACGCTTTCAAAAAACATAAAACAAGAAGTGAGAAGCAGAAGCTAGAACACAAATGTACAAAATGCGAAGCATACAACCAGGCTTTCGGCTTGGCTGAGCTCCAGACATCACTAAACTGCTGCAGTGTTTCGGCCCCAGGTTCTGATCGAGTGGTGTACGATATGTTGAAAAACCTGCCAACGGAAACGCAAAAAACCTTACTTTGTTTGTACAATGCTATCTGGTTTTCTGGCACTATCTCTACTTCCTGGAAAGAGGCTATTGTTATTCTCATTTTGAAAGAGGGCAAGGACCCTTCTTCAGTTTCCAGTTATAGGTCTATTGCACTTACAAACTGCTTGTGCAAACTTTTCGAAAAAATAATAAACTGGCGACTTGTACACTTCCTTGAAACAAACAATTTGCTCGACCCGTTTCAGGGGGGGTTTCGAAAGGGTAGGTCCACCATCAACCACCTTGTTCGAATTGAGGCACAGATCAGAGATGCTTTCGTCCACAAGCAATACTTCCTTTCTGTGTTCCTTGACATCGAAAAGGCATATGATACAACATGGCGCTTTGGAATATTAAGAGACCTGTCCCACTTTGGCGTGCGTGGCAGACTGTTTACTATAATCGAAAGTTACTTGTCAAACCGGACATTCCGCGTTCGAGTAGTCAGCGTTTTTTCCCAAACATTTAAGTGTAGTAAAAGCTCTGAAAACTCAAAGCACAAAGACCCCGTCCTTGTCTCGCTTTATTCGCTCTTATGCACAGTCTACTCATCCAAGCAGCATGTTGTAGTCTGTTGTGTGCCAGGACACCGAGAAATGCAAGGCAACATTCTGGTGGACAAGCTAGCTGGATCCGCCAACAAAACCGCTACCAATACATTGATACCAATTCCTGCACTAGACTTGAAACCTTTTCTAAAACGAAAGCTCAGGGGTTATTGGCAGAGCACATGGGACACACACATTCAATTGCATGTCATCAAGCCGGAACTTGGTCATTGGCCGCCAGTATCAAAATTATGCCACATAGAAGTAATACTTACAAGGTTAAGAACAGGACATACATTCACTACACATTCATTTCTTTTGTCTGGTGGCGATCTACCTTTGTGTGAGAGATGTGGAGAAACGCTCACCGTATTTCACATTCTTATCCAGTGTAATGAATTAGACACGCTGAGAAAACAACACTTTCCTTTACCCTACTGACAGCAGATACCACTTGATCCTACAATTTTTGTCGATAGAGAACCACTTTTCACACATAAATCGTTGTTAGCTTTTTTGAGAAAAGTTCGTACATTTCATATCATATACCTGGGCATTCCATAGCACGACCATTCCAGAGAGGTCTCCGCTACGATGGCTACACTCAACAAAGCACTTGCCTTGGGGCCCTTAAACGCAAGGGTGTGACCTATCGAGGCACTTCTGCTAATGCCATACATGTCCACCATGGTGTTTATTATCACAAAGTTTCATCATCCATTAACACCACACATTTTTCATTACATGGTCATGATTCTATTACTCCTATGTTTTTACTCACCCCAGAAGCGAGGAATTTTAAGTCCCTTATGAAGACATTAATCACAATCATTGTCCATATCTTTTGTCCCATGAACTGGCACTCTTTGGCCATCAAATGGCCCTTGCGCCATAAAGCACGAAAAATCATCATCACTTTAGGGGCTGTTTTTCGTTAGGTTGCTGAACTCTTTTATGACAGAAGAAAAATTGGCCACATTTTGCTTGTTTCAGTCATATATATTGTTTTGGACAATATATACACTGCAATATTATAAATCAATATAAAAGCCATTGTGCATTTTAATGGTGTTACTTCAAAAATTCATATTGACGTATTGTCACAAGGTCATGATGTCCGCAGGCCCCGCCGCAGTGGTCTAGTGGCTAAGGTACTCGGCTGCTGACCCGCAGGTCACGGGATCGAATCCCGGCTGCAGCGGCTACATTTTCGATGGAGGCACAAACTCTGTAGGCCCATGTGCTCAGATTTAGGTGCACATCAAAAAAAAAAAAACCAAGGTGTTCGAAATTTCCGGAGACCTCCACTACAGCGTCTCTCATAATTATATTGTGGCTTCGGGGCGTTAAACCTTACATATCAGTCATGATGTTGGCGAAGGAAGCGGTAATCTCATTGGGAGGTTCAATGATATCTGGATAGTTCCCAGGCATGGTATGAATATAGAAAGTATGGCAGTATAATATACATGAATATTTATGAAAAACAAGATTAATTGAAAATTGCACCAAATATTGGTAATGTCATGCTCCCAACATGAAATAAAAAAATTGAGATATACATTGTGCTTACACAACAATTTTCTGTATCAGAGAACAGTTCGAATGATGTAGTTAAAAAAGCATTCAAGTTAATTTTTGTTTTTTTGCATGCCCAGTGAAGACTGCATTATTCCATCAGGTCTCATTGTTATTAATTTTTCCGCTGCTACTTTTTCAAACATAGTGCTAGAGTGAACATAAATGAAAAGAAGAATAAATCTGTTATTCAGCTATAAATGTATTTTACTATTTAGCAAATTATTCTAAGTAGTTGCACTCGCACACAAAAAAAAAAAACAAATCTGATGCAAAAAGACGACACTGAACTTGGCACCTAAAATGGCTTTGCTGCACACAATAAAAGTACTCTAAACTTCTAATCGCAAAGTATTCTTCACATTTCAATGCCCGACATGATCAAAACAGATGGTGCCACTTCTGAGAGCTCTAAGATGGAAAAAAAAGTTCGTTTTCTTCTAAGCTTGGTGTGCCAGTAGGCAAGAGATGTCACAAGTGGCATTATCCAATTGTCAAGTGATTGGTCCTGTTAGCACTACTTCTTTTTTTCTGCTGTGTTCTGAATGTCCGGTGTTTGTATGACCTGCACCTTTGTATAAGCACCTTTTATGACTTTTGTGGGGGTGAAAAATGACATATAAAGCGCTCTGTCTATTTAACTGTATATATTTTAAAATTCAACATTGCACGTAAAGTAGGTTCATTGCGAAAGACGTAGCCACCCACGTGGCTGAATATCAGTATAAAACTTGTAATAACGCGGTCCTAAGGCACAGGATACTGACATATATCCTACTGGAACCACATCGTCTGTTTTTTTTTTCTCTCTCCAGTTAATTCGACCAGCATCCACAGTGAAGAATGGTGGGTTTGTCGCAGCATGATTGTTGCAAGAGATTGGTACTTAAATGATAGTATTGAACTGATCAACACTCATACATTGATATGACGAATCACCAGTTATAACAAAGTAAGTTGTTGATATAGTGTTACGAATACACGTTTATGGCGAGTTTTAGATTATGACCAAGCATTTTTGTCGCAGATGTGACTTTGTTATAATCTAGTGGGATCACGACTAAAGAAGTTTTGCTGAGTGCGCTTAAAGTTTGAGTATACTTCATCTCTCATCTTTGTTGCGGCCATGGCTTGAGATGGTGTACTGTTTCAGGCTTACGGATGGCAAACAACATGACTTGAAATTTGAGCCTGCTGACAAGAACCATGCTGCAAAAGGGTGCATTGCCAAAGACAGCATGGTCTGACGCCGGGAGGCCGACTCCCCCATCCTGGAGTGGGACGTGCCCTGCCTGCTGGCATTCTCAGCTGAGCAAGCTGAACAGTGTTTGACCACTTGATGATGTGTACATTTCATTTCCTTGGTCCTTCATGTTGTGCACAGCTCATAAGTTTGTGCAGTGAAGCATATGAGTGAATTTTACTTCTTGCTCCTCAAATCTGTTTGACTACTACTCACGGGCTTCACTGTACTAGCATTGTTGTAATTATTTGTTTATATTATCGTTCATGATCACTAAGTTGCCTTTGTCTTCAGGGAATAGGACACATGCACCGTGAGTGGACTGTGCAGTGGTTTGTGTGTGTACACGTTACAGGCACATTGAGCTTAAATGTGTGAAGCATGGCTCAGTGCAAGTTATTTATTTTTTTGGAGAAGTTCTTACTGCAAATCGTGCAAGTTTTTGAAGGCAGACTACACACATTAATGTTGGACTGTACTACTGCTTGCTTTTTTCTTCCATGTTGTTTTACCAAAACAATGCTGTACTTTAGCATATGGAAGACATTGACTTATTCTTGCTATTCTGGCATCTTCTGTTGCTATCCCGGAGGTGTATAAGAGTGATCACATCGAACCATTCCATGTAAACTACTTATTTAGAGTATTTTATTGTTTTAAGGTTTTATCATGCACAAGGCCTTCTCTCGTGTTGCCTCTCTCCCCTTTTTTTAGCTGAGAGCAGCTGGTTTTCTTTACACTTGCATATAGTGAATATATACATATATATATATATATATACATATATATATAGTAAATATTTTTAAAATGTGATTTCATTCTGGGGAGTGAAAGAAACCGATCTCTTTTCTAGTTTCATGAATCTCCTGGCATTCTCACTTTCTTGGGTTCCCAGTTCCTTCCTTTTTATTTCTCTCTCTCCAGTATAGGGACTGAGCTTGTCTCACGGTCTTTAGTAATCAAAATGTGTGTGTGTGTGTGTGCGTGTCCACTCGTGTAAGCATGCTTGTGCAACTCTTTGTAAAAAGCATTTCTGCCTCCTGTCCACTCGAGATGTCATACCATGGTGCATGCCATTGGAGCTTACATTACTGGATGGACAGAGACCAGCATTTCTACACATTTTGAAACAACTAATTGTGGCTCTAATGACCAGAAGCCAAAAAGTCCGAGCTTTTCAAAGTGTAGTTTTGACTCAGCCTGAAGGTCTGTGGACTGTGCCATTGCTGCCAACTTCGAATGGATAATGGCTAGCCATTTGTATCTGTCCTGCAGGTTGTTTTTATACAAATTGGTTGATAAAAAGAAATACTGTTGCTGTGTTGTAACAACGGTGCTGTTAAAAGGAAGTTGAAAGCTGACATGCCGTGTTATTCTTGCACGCTAATGTGCAGTGTGCATAAGCACTGTGCTATGTTGAAGATCAAGTGGAGGAGTGGCCTTTGTCATCGCAGCGCTTCAAGTTACAGCAAACCGGTCTTTGCCCAGAAAAAACTGGCGTTAAATTCTCTCAATTGCTTCCTGACCTGCTTGTTCGACAGTGTAACATTTTAAGCCTGCATCATTACTTCCGACCACAGACGTGATAAAAGGTGAGCGGGATAATCCTATATGCCACATATTGTGGTGTGTCGAAGGTGCTTTGAATGGGAATCGCTCTTCAAACTCGCTCAAACCTGACTCTCTCTAGCTGGCACTTGTTCAGGGGTGGGTACTTCAGCGTTATTGTTAACATGCACTGGTAGGAGTTTATTTTACATTGAGGCATCTGCTAAAAAGGACTGTTACCACTGTTTGTTCTTTATAGCTTGTGCAATGTAGCAGATTTGCACTAGATCGTATCAGTCTCGTTGACTTCTGTATTCGCTAGTTCAAGTCCATAAAAATCGAATTGTGGAAGCTTGGGCTTTTTAATATTTTTAGTACGTTCTTCAGCAACAATAATTTTCTGCATCAGGCATCTCAAATACAGTGGCCTAATGGCCACTCAGTTTGAAATGCATCTATATGAAAAATATGATGTGTGCGCTAAGCAAGCTGTTCTGTGCATCGACCAAGTATTATACTGTACTCGTGCTCTTTATCTGTCCATCTATATTTTACTGATGCTGCCTACGTATGTGCCTAGAGGGTCACTAGAAATATCAATTATCGTACTGGCGCAGTTGACCTGAGCCTGATATACAGAGCAGTGTGTATGTGGAAAGCAACAAAGCAAAATAAATTTACAAATAACAGCTTAGGCATAACTGGAAGCAAAAAGAGGTAATGCCATTTCACACTTAGCATAATGACATTTTGTTCATTGTTCTGCATAGTGTGTCAAAGTACAACTTGTTGGACTCCGAAAATGACTCCCATGGCAGCCACTGTTTGTCTGTGCTCGTCTTCCGTTTTGTGGAGCACGGCAGGTTCTTCGACGTTAGTGCAGAAGTCAACGAGAATGGCTGCTCACCGTCCTAGTATTCAGTTGCAGCTGTGGTGGATTTTAGTATTCTGTTTAAAAGTGTGCCGCAATTTTAATCTGTATTCAAGTGCATTTTAACACCCATCCACTGAGTAGGGCTTTCTTCATAACCAAACTTCTCTTTGAATACAACAGTTTTTGCTTTCTCTGGAATGGAACAACAGTTGAATCATTTTTTTTTTATTTCATCTGCACGCTACAAGCTTTGTAGGTTGCATATTGGCTGTGTATTTTTGGCGCCATGTGCCAAATGGTCGTAGTAACAAGTTTTGAATGGTTGTGTGATGAACCATGAAGGTGTGTTTATGTAAGTGTACAGCCCATAAGATCAAAAAGTTCTGGTTGGTTATGAATGGCACTCGTTTTCTGAGTGTGTGTGTGTGTGTGTACATATATATATATATATATACATACATACATACATACATACATACATGCATATATACACGTTTGCACTGTAGCTCTTGGACAGTGTTTCATCTCGTTTCATTAAAGGTTGTAAAGTTTCTAAGGTCTGCAGCTGGAATGTGGTCTGTGAAGTGTGTGCATTAATAAAGTTGATTCCTAAGAAGTGGTGTGACATTTGTTATTTGTGTTGCAAGATTTATGCTCTGTTGCGGACAAATGCTGAAACTGCTTGCAACGAGATTTATCACTGTTAGAACACTTTCAGAATGCAGCGGCGCAACAGCTGAACCAATTGCGTCAATTTGATACAATTCCTTATTGTTGCGCCGAACGGCGCCAAACCCGTGATATTTGCTGAAATTGCTCCACGCTGTGCCAAAATGCCTTGGCCGCCTCAATTTTTTCCAGGTGTGCTAATCTCAGCGAGAAATGCAGGCCGTGTCTGCAGCCACCTGCAGCTTGCGCCATCAGTCAGAACGGGCAGACCCAAACTATAGTGCCTAGAATATACTTAAAATATTTTATGACACCCGTCCTACACTCGCGTGAAGTGATCGATCAGATAAAGTAACAACACTGCGCACCCATTGGTCCGCTGACCGCAGCAGATCAGCGGGACGACAGAATTTCAAGAAAAGAACGCGTTGCTGTAGCCACCAACGCTTCGCTGCAAATGTAAATTTCCTAGCCAGAAAACATAGCTACGACTTGTCAGGCACTAAAACTAGAAGCATGTGCCGCGTTTTCTTCACGCGAACAAGCTCGAAATGCTGTGAACGCTGGCGTTGCCAGTGACCATGTTGACTGCCTTAGCAGTGGCACATAAAACATTTATGTTTGTCTTGAAGTTGCGTCGCCCCTGCCATGGTCCTGGCAACTAATATCCGGTACCATCTCCGGGTCAATGGGCACGCACCGTCGTTATTTTACCTGGTGTAACACTTCTTGCAAGGAAGCTGAAGCGACAGTTAACTCCACTGAAAAAAAAAAAAAAAAAAAAGGAAGTTGGGTGGCGGTGTAGCAGTTGAAACATTTCTTGGCTTTGGTTTTAATGCAGCTTGAGCCACCTTCACCGCAGTACACCGGTACCTCGCGGAAAAGCGCATTGAGATTTAAAGGAGATTGTTAGCGCTAGCAGGACACTGAACAAAAAAAAAAAATTGCTCATTTACTGATGCGTTTGTATGCCACACAATTCTGAATATCAGAGTAATTACTGACATCTACATAAGCTACTGGCAATCATTTGAAGCAATGTATGACATTCCTGCTTCCCTAAAAAACTAACTAAATTTTGTGCGAGTTCTTTTTGTTTTTTTTTTTGCCACCCCTATTTCTCAGTTTTACGAATCTGCCAAATTTTAAGGTCCCTACCTTGGAAGATTGATATTTGAATCTGCAGACTCTGTCAAATGATTTGACAGGTGCACCAAATGCTAATATGGACTTTATCATTGTTTGCTCAACCGCGTAGTTCAAAATGCTACTTTGATTAAAATAGCAGTGCTCATGCTCACACTGTGCTGCTTGGATTTATCGTTGTGCATGAGTGTGGTGCCGAGAGTCGTCGGGGTCTAGCAATTCAAAGTTGCGGTGAGGGATGCAAACACGTCGTTTCTTTCGTACGAAGTTTCTTGCGTTTCTCTGCTTTCTAGAACTAGAAGTAATTTTCCCGTTACCTTTTCATCCACTGTTTTATGTTATTAGGCTAACTGTAGATGTAATTGCTAGTACTACTACGAATGCCATCAAAATAGTAAACAGCCCTACAAGCAGTGCCTGTATTCTTTAGCAGCTCGAAACTTTCCGCGTTTCATTTTTATGCACTCCAACCGCCCACGATGTATACGCTCACTGTAAGAATCACATGGAAGTAGCAGATTAATTAGTTCGCAAAGCAGGTGTACGCCCCATTCGTCAGTTGACAGGAAACGTCAAAGTGGGAGTGCGACCACTCGAAGTCGGCAAACTCCAACATTGAGGACACTTTGAAACCAGCAACGTCGAATTTGAGCGAGACAGAAAGAAGTTAGGAAAGAATAATGCGGGAGGAGTCACCCAAGGCACTAAGCCGACCTAAGCTCGCAAAGTCAGAGGCCCAAATCCGTGCCGAGTGTTTTTCTTTGATTTTTTTTTTTTCAATGGACTTTCAGAGGGTTGAGATAAGGCAAGCTAAGTGTGGGGTGGCATTGACAGATAGGCAGTCAGGTGGTAATCTACAGTGCTAAGAAAGTGCAACAGAACCCCCTACTTAGAGGCAATGCAGTAGCCTACCATGGAATGACAAAACTCTGTTCGAATGCTGATGCTGGACCATTTCCAATCATATATTTACTTAAAATGCGTGATAAAGGAATTGTTTAGAGAAAACAACCGGTCTGGTGTGTGGCCTAACTGGCGACCACGTGCTAGTAATACACTTCCTCACTAGAGCACAATTGGCCACCTTAGTGCCGTACTTGGCCACTATTTCCCATGACAGCAATTAACCCTTGGCCCTCAGTCCCCAGCGGCTGCGAAGCAATTGCCCAAGGCCGCAGTCAAACCTGCAATGCAGCAGAGGGTGCTAGAATACCTGGGTCCGGGCAGGCCGCCATTGCAATCTGAACTTGGCTACCTTCAATGTTAGAACGCTATCTAGTGAGGCTAGTCTAACTGTCCTATTTGAGGAATGACAGGATGTTCAGTGGAATGTGATAGGGCTCAGCGAAGTTTTTTTGAGCATTTTCAGTAAATGCGCGCGTCATGTGCAGAATGCCTTCGCTATCAATGATTATTCACGTGGCAGCGCCAAGAGCCACCGGCGCACCACTAATTCCAGCCTATTCGAGCTTCCGCGAGACTCGCCGTGCCAAATATGTCAAATATGCTGTGACTGGTCGAGTGAGAGCCTACGACTTGCGGTCACTGAGCAAGCAGCTATCCGCGCTGCTTGTTGTTCGCGACAACACGTGCGGGGCACAGCGTGTCCCCGTGCAGATCTATCACATTGGCAATCCTTTGAAGGCGTGCGCACATTGCAAGGTTCATACCGGCACGATTATGGCAGCCATGGTTCGCCAACCAGCACGCATCTACAACACAACTGACGGAGTCAACGGCCAGAGTCTCTACAATTGGAAGTAGACGGTGTTTCAAGTAGCTTGTGCCAGCGATGACGTATGCCATGCGAGAGGGCAAAGTGGTGTGGGAGAGGATACCAGCGGAGGGAAGCGCAGGAGAAAACGAAAGGTCTGGTCGTCACTGTTTCGATAGTCAAACGCGTCTAACTCCGCTATTACTGCACCATTTCGAAAAATTCTCTCGGGTTCGTGTTTGTTGTACACTCGTGCACAATTTCTCCACTTCAACTGAATTTTAACCTCTGGGTGGTTTACGGGCCCTGTACTAAAGTCACGGCACACTACTCTGGTGGGCAACTTTAATGTTAAAGTAGGCAAGAAACAGGCAGGAGACCATGCAGTGGGGGAATATGGCGTCGGCTCTAGAAATGCCAGAGGGAAGTTATTAGTAAAGCTTCCGGAACGTAATAATTTACAGATATTGAATACCTTCTTTAGAAAATGGACTAACCGTAAGTGGCCATGGCGAAGTTTTAATGGGGAAACTAGAAGACAGCTTTCCTGTAAAGGCGAAGCACTGAACGCAATTAAAACAAATTGAAAGGTCATGCGCAGAATGGCCAGCAGATCGAAACGTGCCTTGCGTTTCTCGCGCTCAAATGATGCAGGAAACTTACTCTTAGGTACCGATGAACGCGAATAAGGGCCTCGGTTGTTACTTCGCTGTGTCTGAAAAGCGCGCTCTTTTCGCGAATGGAGACTGTGCAACGATTGCAGTGATCTTTGTGTGCCTGTTAACTAAAATATAATCGTTCCGGTATAAGATGAAGGCCAGCCAAGACAAACGATTCTCCCCACTGCGAGATAAGGGCGTGCAAGTGAGCGTCGACCCCCTGCTCTTCGCGGGGCAAAGTGCGCGTGGGAGATCAGAGCGCGTCACGTGACGATGTTGCTACGCGCTCGTAGTGCTATTTTGCTGGTAGTGCTGAAAATACAATAGTTCTCCCCTAAATGCCCGTCAGCAGTGGTAAGTGGTAGGTATAGATAGCTGCTGTTTGAGCGTTGAAGGACGTGCTCTTCGGTAGCTCGGCAGTTAACGCCTCGCACTCACAATTAGGAGGACCGAAGTTCGATTCTGCGCGCTGCAGTCTTTTTCTAAATTTTTCTTCATTCTTGCATTTTCGTGTATATGGATACGTATACATATGCAGTGAGGGACGGCAACGCCAGCGGCAAAATGTAGCTGAGAGCGTGCACATAAGTGCTGCTATCATAATAAAATGAAATAGACTTCATTCTGTGTGTACACCACGGTGTAAAAATAAGTTAGGTTCGTCGCCTGGGCCATTTTTGTTTGATGCGAGAGATGGTGCTCACGAAAGGTGGGCTATCGGGGTCGATGACTTGCGGGCCATTTTTCCTGAGGTACACGTAGTGATGTGCACGATACCATAAGTACCGGTGCGTGACGGCAACCTGCAAAGAGCGGTTGTTGACGCAAACGAAAAGATATGGCAGATGGGTTTGCAGAAACACATCTTAGGGACACGGAACAACCACCTAGCAACTGGGACTATGCATGGGAATATTGTAATAGAACAGAAGGCATCGAAAAGGGGGGTGTTATTGGGACATTCATTTACAAAAGTACAGACTGGCGAAAGGTTAAACAGGAGTGAAAGAAACATTAATGGCGTAAAGGAAAAGTGGCAGGGCAGATTACGCTCTTGGGTTTGGTATATTTGTAGACGGGCAAAAGCCAGAGAGGAAAACCAAGAAATGGTGCAGTGCATAGAAAATGACATTGAAGAATTGGAAGAATAGTGTGAAGTAATTATATTGAGAGATACGAATACGTACATAGAAGATATGGATGGATATACTGACCCAAGAGGCAGAAGGCTAATGGATATGTGGGAAAGGCATGATTTAATCATTTGCAACAGTACCAAGAAGTGCGAAGAGCAGATATAACATGGGAGGTGGGAAGGCTGCAGCTGACGATAGATTACGCAATGATGTTACATAGGATGTATGATCAGCTAAGGGTGATGAACATAGATGAATATGGGTCCAGAAGGTAAGGTAATGATGACAAACGTATCAAGCTGAGTTTTGGAAGAGAAATGGGAAGAAGATATGAGCAACCACGTGGTATTGTTTTTTCAGAAAGGCAAAAAGAAATAGCAACCAAAGAGATTGAGAAAATAATCTTTAAGGATACTAAAACAGAGTGGACGTACACAAACCTAACTCGATTGTTTGAGTTGGAGCTTGCGAAGGTAGGAGTCAAATCAACCGGGAAAAAGAGACACAAACCCAAGAGCTGGTGGTATAAGGAAGTTAGGAGAGCCATAGTAAGATGTCTGGAAGCCTACAGGCAACACAGGCATACTAAACAAAGGGGTGAACCAGGAGATCTTGTCAAAACAAAATGGGATAAATGTTCAAGTTGCAGAAGGGAAGCGTTCAATCTGATCAGTTAAAAAATTAGAAGAAAGGAGGCCTAATGGATGGCTGAAGTAAACAAGAAGGATAGAAAAGCAGCTGCAAAGTTTTGGAACCATCTCAATTCTCGGAGTAATAAGGCAAGCATGGAACAGAGGTTTATAACTACAGTTCAAGGGGTCAGACTAGAAAAAGATGAGGCAATGTAATATATAAGAACAATCATGACAGAAAAATTTAAACACCAAGAAAGCGCTGCATGCACCATACGAGATAAGGATGGACCAATTAGCGCAGTGGCTCCACTGAAACAATGAGTGTGGGAAAAAGTAGAGAAGAGGGTTCCTGATAGCACATTTACAGGCCCTGAAAGCATACCAATTATGCTAAATAAAGAAACTAGGACCAAACTCTAAGAAAACATGGAGAGGCAGCGAGCGAACTAATAATGGATGGTGAAAACGAGATGGGTGGAAACAAAGCAGGATGAGCATGATTTATTAAGGAAATGAGGACAAAGCTATACAACTACCATCCTATAACAGTGACATCAGTAGTTTACATGCTGGTGACGCAGATAGTAATGGAGAGACTACAGACATGGGTGGAGAGTGAGGGTGTGCTAGGAGAACTACAAAATGGGTCCCATAAACGAACAGTTCGAAGGGTTAGACTACAAGGGGATGCGGGACGGACAATCTGTTTTCATTGATGCAGTGTACTGAAGTAGCGGAAAAAGAAAACAGGCCCCTATGGCTGGCATTTCTAGATATTAAAGTAGCTTACGATAGTGTGATTCAAGAAGACTTGTTGGGAATACTAGACTCACTAGATGTAGAAAATGGAATACCGTAATTACTCGAATCTAACGCGCACCTTTTTTTCCGCTAGAGCGAGTTGATAAGTCGCATGCGCGTTATAATCGAGTACAAACAAAAAAATTACAATCAATCTATTGCCATCGGCAAATTCAAAATGGCCACCCCCTACGTGCGTCGGCATGACGCGTCGGCCATTTCTGCCTATGTGTTTCCCATGTGCGGCACTTCGTACGTATGCTGAGGAGTTCGTCATCTAGTAGCGCATTAGCATCGACGACGTGGAAGGGCCGACTCTAAAAACTCGAGTCCACCACGATGCCGCTTTTAAAAGAAAAGTCATCGCGTGTGCAGAAACAAACGGAAATCGAGCCGCATCGCGGTCGTTCGGAGTTCCCGAAACGTGCGTGTGGGACCGCCGGAAAGAAAACCAGAAGATTGTCGACAGCAAAGCTTCACGCAAAGGCTTCAGTGGACCACAGCAAGGTCGGTTTCCGCAAATAAAGAGCTGCTCAGCGAGTATGTGCTTGAGCAGCGAGCGGCACAGCGGCCCGTGACGACAGAACTGCTCCAAGTGCGGGCAATGCAATTGACGATTTGCGGAAAAGCTTCTGCGCATGCGCGGTAACGGCGCAGCTGGCGCCCTCTATGGGCGCTTTGGTTTTGGTTGGAAAACACGAGCCGGGCCGGCCGTCACTCGTGCATCTCTGTGCGGTCACTGAACTAAGTCGCCTCGCTTTAGCAGCGTACAGAAATGCCAGCGCACTGTGTGGCCTACGGCTGCACGAATTATTTTACTCAGAAAGGAAGCACGCATTTCTACAGGTTCCCGTTCGCGAGGCTACGTGCTGAAAAGAGAGATGCTTGGGTAGCTGCTGTGAGGAGACAGAATGCCGACGGTTCGCCGTGGGCGCCCAACAAACATTCTGGGATCTGCAGCGCGCATTTCGTAACAGGTACGGTAATTTTAAGTGCTTATAACTTGGTTTGTGCAATCAGAAATCACGTTTACTGCAGGACGGCCGTCAAAGTTCAAGAACCATCCTGACTTCGTCCCCAGTGTGTTCACCTATGTGAGAAGTCGCGGCGATGCTGCTGTGCGTCGCCATAGCCGATGGTGGAAGCGACAGAAAGGTAAGCGCTACAATCTCAGTTTATATTTACTAGGACAAAAACTGCTAATGCAGAATAGAGGAGCAGATGTTCGTGAAGGCAACCACACATCTGTCTGAGCGCGTGAACGGTCAGTTCTGTCGTGCATTTACGAAGGTCGCTCTTGCTTTCCGGACTCACTCCAGCTTTTAAAGATGTACGGTCTAAAGCACAGTCAGTGGAAATGTGAATGTATAATAAATACTTGTTTCGAGCCCGGTACCACTCTAGTGAGCCGTTCGAGCACTCTAGGCTATCGTCTGGACGGCTGTACTGCATCGCTTCCGTCTGGTATTTTGTGACTGCTTTCATCATGGGTGAGGCCAGACGAGAAACCAACCACTTTCGAGGCGATTTGCAGTGGATAGTGTAGTGTGACAGGCAGTGCTTGTGAGGTTTCTCGTGCCTGCGGCACCGTGAGAGCACTTGTATAGATTTATTGCCCACACGATCATTTTTGCCGCTGCTTCCCGCATTTACAGCGTGTTTTTAGGTTGTGAAGTCGTATTGTGAATGCCGGATGCAATGCCTTTGTCACCAGTAGGGTAGCCAGACATATTTTGGTGGTGGGATTCAACCATACTTTATGCTCGTGTGTGCGTTGGTATGTGTGCGTGTAATATATACACATGCAAAGCTGAAAATTTTCGGGGGTTTGAACCCCTCAAACAACTCTTCCGCTCAGCCATGTCCCTGATTGTCACTATTTCTTAGACACCCAATATGTGGCTGTTATGCACATCTCACCCTAGGTGCTTATTGTCAGCAAATGACCTGTGCATAACCACGATACCATTCTTTCAGGGGAGCTTGATACGACAGCCACTTCTGCTACTCCTAATGACACGCCAGAGTTGCAGGATCCTCCCAATGGTCAGCTTGCTTGCACTTTGCAAACTTAAGTGCTGTTTTGAGTTTCTTCCCGTGGCATCATGTGATTGCTCAGATTTCAGCTGGCTTGATTCTGCAGACACATTCATATAGGGGATAATGGTCAGCTGATGTGTTGCTTTCAGAGAATCTCAACATGGACACTAGTGCTGCACAGGATGGTGTACTAGATGAGAATTCAGTGGACCTGCGACAACTGGAAAATGGTAAGTTTGTGTGCACTTTGCAGAGTTGAATGTTTTTTCAGCATTTCCCCATACCACAATGTGAATCCTGCTGCTGCTTGTTGCATGTGGCCCATTTCTGCAGTAAAACACTCATACAAAGCAATTAGATGTCATGCTGTTGCATTGCTTGCAGAGAATCCTGACGAAGGCTTGGATGCTACAAAGGATGATGTACCTGATCAGGACTCGATGGAGCTGCAGCAACCCGGAAATGGTGAGTTTGTATGCACTTTGCAGAGTGCAATGCTCCTTTCGGCTTTTTCCCGTACCATGATGCCAATGCTGCAACTGCTTTTTGCATTTGCAGATAGAAACTCCTCAGCTATAGGCTTATTGTAGAGCTTCTTTCTAGTTCGTATGTCCATATGTGTAACATTGACTTGCAGAGGGCGCTCTAAGGTGCTTGACGAGCGCTTTTTCTGTGCCACTTGCAGGTATAAAGGAACACATCTGGCCAGATTGCCGCTGTCAAGCCTGTGCTTCTAAGAAGATTGAAATCCTGGAGCAAGAAATAGAAAATTCGCAGAAGTTTATCCTCCAGTTGCAGAAACAAAATGCAAAGCTAGAGGTGCAGCTAGATGCAGCCATGTCAAGGTGTCTCACCCTGACTACTCTAGCCACTCCAAAGGACTGCATGTACTACACTGGATTGCCGAATGTTGAAGTGTTCAATATTTTGCTTGAATACTTTGCACCACGCGGTAGAGAATTGTTGTACTGAGGCTCAGATAAAAAACGGTATAATGACCCTCGTGGCAACAAAAAAAATGGCAATCTGGCCAAAGAATTTTTCATGGTGTTAGTTCCGCTCAGGACAAGTAGTATGCAAGGGCAAGAACTGGCCAGGAGTTTCCTGATGTCAGAAAGTCTAGTTAGCCGCACTTTTTCCACATGGATTAACTTTTCACAACGAGAGCTTCGGCACTTGACACCCTTACCTACTTTAGATGACATAAGATCCCACCTACCGAAGTGCTTCTCTGATTTTCCCGACACCCGTCTTGTTCTCGTTGCCACAGAGGTGAGAATACAGAGGCCTTCGTCATTGAGCGCACAGCGCAGTTTGCATAGTGCGGGCTATGCAATGAGCCTTAGAAAAAGGTCTAATGCGGAGCTAGTTTAAAGCGAGCAGGTGCTGACTAACTAACTTTTTGAAGAGGAAAGGCTTTTCCCTCCGAAGGGGAACATGCATATGCGAAAAGTTTTGCAGTGGAGTACGATAAAAAACTTCACAGTTTTCGGAGGTTCGTCCTAAACTTGCGGCACAACAACGGCTACCTGCTTGGGCAAATCGGGAATGCTGGTCAGACGCTTCTTTACTTTGACATGCCTGGCACCACAACTGTCGAGAAGAAGGGGGCGAAGCAAGTTCGCGTGCTGACATCGGTCCACGGTAAAACTACAGTGACGGCAATGCTCTGTTACACGTCAGATGGGCACAAGCTTCGCCCGTACCTCATATTTAAATGGAAGACGCTCCCGAAAGGAGTCGTTTTTTCGAGTGGTGTGATCGTGCGGGCCAGCGAGAAAAATGGGTGCGCGTTGCAATCGATGTCTTACGTTTTTTTTTTCTCGTGGTGGAAATCGGGTGCGCGTTACAATCGAGGGCACGATAGAATCGAGTAAATACGGTAACTAATCTTCTAAAGGATACCTATAAAAGTAACAAGGTAGTTATCAAATGGGAAGAACAGGTATCCGAACCTATAGAAATTCAACGGGGGCTTCGAAAGGGATGTCCTTTGTCACTTTTGTTATTTATGCTGTACCTCCAGGGACTAGAAGCCAAATTAGAGGCGAGTCAGCTCGGTTTCAGCCTCTCTTTTGCCAAGCAAGGGAAACGCATTGCGCAGACATTGCCAGCATTGATGTGTGCAGATGATATACGTAGTATTATTGGCCTACAACAAGGAAGATCTGCACGGATTGATGGACATCTGTGGTAATGAGGGAGGTTGGTGAAATTTTAGAGAAAAATCGGCAATCATAATGCTAACAAAGGCAGTGAACAAAAGATGTAGGAAGTCATGCTAAAAATAGTGGATAAATACAAATATTTGGGTGCATAGGTAAATAACGGGGCTGAGTACCTAAAGGAGTACGAAAGGTATGTAATGACTAAAGGTAACAGGAATGCAGCTATAATGAATAATAAGACACTGTGGAACTACAATGGGTTGTAGAAACAGAAGACAGCTGCACAAAATGGCTGAAAGCTAGAAGGGCAGTGAACTACCGAACCAAATTAAAACTTGTTTGTCACTCATTGTAACTCGAAGTGCCGGGGCGCTAAACTTGCTCGATTCAGTGAGTTGGCTTGCCTCGTTGCGAAGACGCGTTTGCAAAGCTCGGTGGGTCGCTTATTTGCTCTTGATCCGATCAATCTTCGTTGATGTGGAATTCCTTTCGTTGTCAGGTCACTTGTGCCACCAATCCCGGGTTTGTTGGCACCATGAAATGTAGAATAAAGGAAGCCTCCTCGTTGGAAGGATGGAAAACAGGGCGTTGTTATTTTTATCTTTGCATCAAAGCGTCCATTCTTGGCCGATCCAGTTTAGTGCAGTCATGTACCGCTCGCTCATCCATCATCGTCCTTCTCTTCTTGCAATATTTAACATGCTCTTTATAAGCCTCCAGGTTTCTGCTCCGTTGGTAAGTACTGGCAAGATGCAGCTGTCATATGCCTTCCTCTTGAGGGTTATTGGCAGATTACCATTCATGATTAGAGAATGCTTGCCGAACACGATGCACCCCATCCTTATTCTTATATGTAGTTATTTCTCTGTCATGATTCGGCTCCGCAGTTACTACCTGTACTGAGTGAACATATTCTTTTACAACTTCCAGCTTCTCTCCACCTATCGTAAAGTGCTCTTTTTTGCGGAGACTGTTGCACATTGCTCTAGTTTTGTGCACACTTATTTTCAGACTTATTTTTCTGCTTTGCGTGTCCACTTCTGTAATCATGAGCTGTAATTTGTCCCCTGAGTTACGCATCGAGGCAATGTCATCAGCAAACCACACGTTACTACGATACTCTCCATTAACTATTATCCCTCACTCTTCCCAAGCTAGGGTCCTGAAAACCTTCTGCTAATACGCGATGAATAGCCCTAGAGAGATCCTGTCTCCCTGGCTTGCGCCCTTCTTTATTATGAATCTGTCGCTTTCTTTATTGAGAACTATGGTGGCTGTGGATTCACTGTAGGTTTCTTCCAGTATATTTATGTAGGGTTATTCGATGCCTTCATTCTGTAGTGCCTGCATTACTGCTGATGTCTTGACTGGGTCAAATGCCATCCATTAATCTATGAAGGCTATGTATAGGTGTTGGTTGTATGTGAAGGTGTAGGTAGATGTGTTTATGGCACGCAATAACATTAACATTTTGGTGCGTTGCGCAGTGTACTTAGGTGCAGTGTAATTCAATCGATGTATCTTCTTAAGAATTATCAGTTATGATCTTCTTGCTTTTTCCCACTTCATAATGTAAGTTATTTATTAAAATATCGCATTACATACATTAATAAAAGGACCAGGGCAGTGGAGGGCCTTGACACTCTGATTATGCACTACCATATTGCAATATTTAACTGCAAGTGGAAGACCACTGCTTCGCATATTTATTGCATAATGATTTCTATTGTTGCAAGTTTGTCCGTGCGAACTTTTGGTAGTGAAAACATGCTCAGACGATCGACAACAGCTGGTTCATTACCTTTTAAATAGCACTCGAATAGTGCTGCATGCCTCCTGATTAAGGCACCGTGTAACAGCATTTGTCAAAAATATACAGTCAATAGGTACAAAACTGTAGCTGCGGCGCTTCAAGCAAGTTATTTGCAGTTAATAAAAGGTGAGAGTGCCTGATCACAGCACTATAAGGAGTCTCTCCTCATGTGCAAATCTTTTGTACTTGCATAAATTTCTGTGTTTGCAGGCTCATGCACAGCAGAGCAGAGAGAACCTACGTTGCTGACCATTAGGAGCATAATAAAAGAATTCAATTTATCTCTCTCGTAGTCATAAATTTCAACTAAGAAGTTTGTCTAGAGAATAAGTTGAGGAGGTAAAAGTACTTATAATCTATAGATGCTATAACACCCTCTGAGGAAGCCTTAAAGGTCAAAAGGAAGTGCTTCTTTAGCAGAAAAACCAAGGCAAGGCTTCTCTTTATTGTGATTTAAAAAAAAGCTTTTGCTAGTTTTTGGCAGTAGAGTTTTGCCACGCTGCATGTGACTCGCTCGCGCTGACCGCGTATGGAGCCTTTGCCAACACACAGCCTTTGCCAACACACAGGAAAGGCAACTGTTTTTCTAGGTCTTGAGCATTTTTGCTGGCATCGGAACAGCGTTATACTAAGCTCTGTTATTGCTCTATATATATATATATATAGCTTCTTTCCTATCCTTTTATAACAAACTGCTAATACATGCATATAATGTCTAAAAATTTATATACTTCTGAAGTCAAAATTGTCATTAGTTATTCAAATTTCCTTTAGTGTGTTAGGATGGCATCATAACATACTGTCACGGGGTCGTGACGTGGCCGAAGACAGGAGACTTCGTGTTGGGATTTAACTGTTTATTTGGGCGAACCTGTGCCCGGTAAACGGATAGTCCAATTACAGCAGCAGTCTTGCACAGATAGCAGTCTCGGACTGATAGCGGCGAACGGAGCGTCGGCTTTCAATCAACAACTGACAAGCGGTGAAGCGCGTCGGCATTTATACTCTTGCCGTCGAATGTTCTAGCGTTATCGCTGGCGGTGGCGTAGGTTCCAGAACAATCTGCACCGTTCGCACAGTGGGCGTGATCTTATCGAAATGATCTACTACAGTCCGGAACCTTCTCGAAAACTGCAGGCGCGGTTTGCGCTGAAAATCGTGTGGTGTTTTGGGACGATAACAAAAACTTGGGAAATGGAACGTGGCATTGCCCCCCTCTGAAAAAAGGCATCGTCCCGATGCTTTAACTAAAGATGAAGGTACAACAATAATGCAAGAAAGTACAATGAATAAATTACGATACAGCAATAATACAAAAAAACACTGTTTCAGTTTGTTAACGTGCATGAAACGGCTTGAGGCGCGAGACATGAACGACTTCAGGTCGCGATCGGCGTCGTTGAGAGTTCGTGATGCCGTCGAGGACAACCTCGTAATCAAGTGGGCCGAGACGTCGAACCACCCTGTACGGCCCGAAGTACCGTCGCAGAAGCTTTTCACTTAGTCCACGTCGGCGTATCGGCGTCCACACCCAAACAGGTTCACGGGGCTGGTATTCCACGAAGCGTCGTCGAAGATTGTAACGGTGGCTGTCGGTCGTCTGTTGATTCTTGATACGAAGATGCGCAAGTGTTCGGGCTGCTTCGGCGCGTTGAAGGTACTCGCTCACATCGAGGTTTTCTTCGTCGGTGATGTTGGGTAACATGGCATCGAGCGTCGTTGCCGGGCTCCTTCTGTAGACCAATTTGTATGGAGATATCTGCGTCGTCTCCTGCACCGCCGTGTTGTATGCGAAGGTTACATACAGAAGAATGGCGTCCCACGTCTTGTGTTCGACATCGACGTACATTGACAGCATGTCGGCGATCGTCTTGTTAAGCCGCTCGGTGAGGCCATTGGTCTGTGGGTGGTACGCTGTCGTCCGGCGGTGGTTTGTTTGGCTGTATGCCAAGATCGCTTGAGTTAAGTCGGCAGTGAATGCCGTTCCTCTG